TCTCTTATTTAAAAAAATGTCCTCCATAAATGGACAATTTATAATATGCATTAACAGGACAATTTATAATATGGAAAATAAATAAGATGCAATATATTTATATTTGTATAATTTTATTGCTTCTTTTTTGGCGCTACATATTTGAGTAGTAAAGTAATTACAGTTTCAATAATGGCCCAAACTAGTTTATTTTCACAAGAGTTTTCCATTTTTTCCATCTCCGTGGGCAAAAATTTATGTCACTATAAAATACCATGCGTATGATACATAAATATAATCGGCGAAACATGAATTTCCAAACATTTTAATTTACGTAAATGTCATTTTTGACACCAACTTGACACTTTAGTGACATTCAGGTTTAAATGTTTCCATTGTAAAAACGAAAAACACATAAAACCTCTGTAAAAATATGTTTTTGCACTTGTAACCCTATTAACTATAACTATAACTTTTACGATAACCGGCGATATGATGCAACCCACCCTAAGTGTTCTTCCAGACTATGCTCTAAACCTGTGCCAAATTTCATAGAGATCCGTTCAGCCGTTTAGGCTACAAACGCTAACAAACATCCATCCATATATCCATCTAAACTTTCGCATTTATAATATTAGTAAGATTATGATCATTAAGAAAATCCGGTACATAGGATAGGCGCCAAATTCACTCTGCGATATTAAGATCTGAAGTTAACTTTAGAACATAACGAGCCGAGTCAGGAAGACCTAGTATGTACCTTTCAGTCATCATCTTCGAGTGAGACACGTTAAGGAATCATGGAGAAAGTAAATAAAACTGTGATGGGATTTTGTATTTTTTATTACATTAACTTAACCTCTTCACTTTACTTCTTTTACTTGCAGGCCTGAAACAATATTAACAATCATTAAGAAAAAGGTCAACAAATCAAACATCATGTTGTCTCAGAATTTTGTACAAGTCTAAGTGTTGAACAGTGGTAGAGCCTGCTTTAACATCTTCGCATTAGGGCCGGCTCGACTAGTGCAATACTCCAATCACACAGAAAACAGGCGTAAAGATTTTTTTATAATATCAGGTGGCAAACGAGCAAGCGGCCGCCTGAATCCACCGAAATGGAAAGCGACCGCTGCCCATAGACATTTGCAATTGCAGATGCGTTGCCTACCCTTCATTGACGGACGAGACGCACATAACGAGGACATTTCCCCTTCCTATGCGTCTCCTCCGCCGTAAAACCCACTTTTCCTTCCCATCCTTTCCAAAAAGGGTGGAAAGGAAAAGGGACTAAAATTAGGCCTGTGGTGCACACACTCATCAGACGAAACGCCTGTTTTCTGTGTGGTCGTGGTATTACTGGGGACGAGCCGGCCCATTCGTGCAAAGATGTTAAAGCGGGCTCTACCACTGTAAAAAGTAGAATCAAGTCTGCGTTTAGTCTGATGAGTGTGGTGCGGAGGCCTAATTTTAGTCCCTTTCCTTTCCCACCATTTTCTTACATGGATAAGATGGGAAGGGAAAAGTGGATTATGTAGAAATGCATTCTACATTACCTAATTTTTTTATTCTGGCAATCAGGAAATAGAGACATAAAAATTTGTCTAGCGATGGAGTGTCACATGCTGACCTGATATAGTGATATCAGGGTGTAGCTCAGTAGTAATGTCTGCTTTGCAGATTTATCAATTAACTAAATTTAAGATAAGAATATTAGCAACTAGCTGTTCCCCTTGTGACTTTATCTGCATTGCAATTATGAAAATTTTATTATATTGTTTACATATGTCAAATTATCAATTGCAAATGTCACATTGTTGCAATTGCACATTGTTTTCATAGATAGATATATTTGTTTGCATCACAATCTTTGTCATGACAATAAGAATGGTTGATAGCTGAACAAATATGAAATATGTCAAAGCAGTACATGGCAGGGACTGCATCAGATGCTGCAGATCACAAATATCCACTGCTTGTTAACCTCTGCACCAATGACACTCATAAAGTTTAAACAATTTGACAGCTCCTAAAATTTCCTGCTTTATTTAATGCTTTTAATGTTAATGGTATAAAGAGGAGATTACCTGGGGGCAAGCTCTGCTTTAGTTTCTCTGCCTTCTCCTTGTCCGTGATGACCAATGTGTAGAGGAACCGCGAGCAGCGCACTTTGAACTTCACATTTTCTGTGTTTTTCTTTATCTTAACAGCTGCAATATGCAACAAGTTGGTTACATTCTAATCTCAAATAATAAGCAAGACTACTGCGGGACTAAACACATTTGATAGCAACAAATATTCAACAGAAGATACAAATTTGGATACAGCTGTACTGTTCAAATACCAACAACCGCTTGCAACACATGATAAATATCTCATTAAGTACCTAAGTTAGATACTGACTACTAAACAAATGTTAATTTAGATGATTTCCATTAATAATAAATAAGCTTCCCAATATTTAGAATGATATTTTTTAAAACAAATTAGGAACCACACCATTTTAACAAACACATTATTTCATTGTTATGAAATTGTTTAAAAAAAAAACAACATGTTATATTATATGTTTGAACGCTATATTTACTAAAAACTTGTAATCCATAAGTGGTTGCATTTTTGGAATCAGTGGTAATAAGAACGACATATGACAACGCTTTGATAATTTACCCTCTGGTGTCTTTCAACGTTAATTACTTTTGTGGTCAATTAAAGGTATTAAATTGACATTGGTAGTAGACCTAAGCTATGCATTAGCATCACAAACGAACCCTGCCAGTCGCTCCAACGATTCTATGTCGTTATACCAGGTGTAGTGCATCGACTATCCACAAACTAAAACAGATCCAATCAGCATACTCTAAAGTTTCAACTCACTAATTACTGTTAATGCATAAACTTACATTTTGCATCTTTCCTGCGGGCTTTTAGCAGGAAGTCTTTGATATCTTTGATTTCACGTGGCTGTAATAAAAAAAAAACAATAGTTTACAAGTCTGATTTTGGCGAACAAAAGCCTAATATAATAATAACTACGTATAAATATTTTTATCTTTCTAAAAACATTAAAATGAATCTGTTAACATGAAAAGTAATAACTAATAATTAACCTTTTTTAAATCGGTGTTAAATTATAAAAAAAAATCTTACCATCTTCGAGTTTATATCACCCAAGCTGAAAACAAAATTAATAATAATAAAAATACAACCAAAAACAGACTACCCGTAGTATACAATTTTTAGCTATATAATTAAAATGAGTAAAATCTTTATCTAATTCTAGATTTTTACAGATTTAAACTACACATTTGAGCAATAACAACTTCACCAACCTGTCAAACTTTGGAAAAGAAATTGTCAATGTCACTTAGGGATGAGTTGATAAACTCTTTGGATAGAAGAACTGGTTACAATTGCAACTGTTGAACCCTCTTCAAATAATAGTTATTTATTTATTTATTATTTATTATCATTCTATTATATTTATTTTCGAGCGAACATTTTGTGTACTAGCTAACGATGTCAAAAAAGTATTAGCATAAAAATCGGACTGCTAGATTTAGTCAAAGACCCAAAATCCTGTGGCGTAAAATAAAGTACAGTAACAATTTACATTACATTTGACTAGTTTAATGAAAATTGTTATATTTGAATGTGATTCAAACGGAGATTTAACTAATTTGTTGAATCACAGACATCCCTATTTGTATATGGCGTAGAGTAAAGACGTATATAGTGCCACAAGACTATTCTGGCACCTTTTTGACATTGACAGGATGGCGCCTCTGAGCATTTAAGGTTACCAGCACGGTAATATATCCACATTAAATGGAAATTCTATCCTTTTTAAAATGATAACACAAATTGTAAAGGAAGTACTTGTACCTTACAATGAAACTAGGAAATGCCCCAGACTTCGTTTGTCGGTTAGAAGACTCTTTAGTTAAAGAATCTTTGTAGCAAACTTTTAGCAATGCACTCTCTTGAGACAGTTAGGTAAGGAATAGTCTTAACATAATAGAAATTGTTTTCGTTAACGCTCATCTACAGAATAATAGAAATCTTAATGATTGTTTGTTGTTTTCAATTAACGCACAGTACAAACTATTTGGTATACCCCGTGGTTTGAACGAAATTATGTGGTATAAAATCATCAGACAGCCAGTTTCTTGTTATATCTCTGAGTACACACAGTAATTTCCTTATTACGTAAGTAAAAAAGTATGGTGAAAACCAAAATCCTTGTTTATTTGATGTCATGAAGGAAATACTTCCAGTTGCATAAAACACATTACAACTAACGGTTCGGTCACCGCAATTTAATAATAATAATAATAATAATTTATTTAACTCATGTAATAGAATATTACACATATGATATTTACATTGACCGAAGAATTACATATTATATTACATTACAGTACACAATTTAAAATGAATAGGTAATAAAACAACTATCAGAAAAATATTTATAAGTCAATTAATATTTAACAATTTTTTTAAATTACATAACTAAACATATTATACATGCGTCTCCTTGAGAATAGGGAATTTCTTGAGTTAATTAATGGTATACATTTCGTTACAACACAAGATGATTCACATTTTCAACTGTAATTACTGGACCCCCTACTTCTTTTTCGCGATAAAATATCTCCCACTTTGAATGATACTACTTTTAAACACTTTCACCACTTTCATGGCATAACATTAAAAAGCCACACAAAATGCATAAAGTAATGAAGCGAAGTGAACTGACTAGCTATGTCACTATTACCCTGACATTAAATGTGTCACTTCTCACTACTCTAAACTAGAGACTGGAAAATCAAGTTTGCTTTAGTAGGGATAGTTCTTGACGTTTTGGTGTTAACAAAAGAAAACTGCTTATTCGCTGTTTTCGACTTATTAAAAAACTGGTTGATTTTGTCAACTACTTTATCATACATTCAAAAAAGATAGCTGATGGCGTGAATGAATCGAGTAGATACTCTATACATATACATTTGGCAGATATTTCTCAATATGTCTGTTGTTTATGTTTTACGATTTTACGCCCATCCCTAGTTTGAGTCGAGCTTGACATTTTGTTTTGACAGATACATAGAATAAGAAATACAATAATATACAGATTTTATGACACGAAGGCGCAACAATACAAACAAATCTAGGAAAAAAGAGTGTGTCTAAGCGGTATGGAGTGGCGTAGTGAAGCTGGGTAGCATTAGGAGTATGGGCGGCGGTGTGAGAAGCAGCGCCAGGCTGAGTGGCGCGGGGCGGGCGGAGCAGCACGCCGCCACTCGCAGCGCGCCGGCCGACGCCGCGGCCCGCGCCGCCGCCGCCCGCGCCGCAGCCGCCGAGCGCCGGGCCCGCGCTGCCGAGCGCGCCCGCGAGGTGGAGGACAGCCCACGCGTGCTGCGGGAAAAGTGCCGCCGCCTGGCTCGCGCCCTCAAAGAAGCTAAACACCTCGTGGTCAGTTGTTCACAATCATGTCTTATGTAAATTTTATTTCATCCATCCCTGATCATTACACATTACCATACTCACATTAATTAGATTAACTTACAGAATCCTTAGGTTGACAAAGGTTGAATGGCGCTGAGAGAAATGAAACATACTTGAGTTACTTTTCAAAAGACTAAATAATAGTAATTCAAGTCATTACAAGTTGTTTTACAGCATTTAACAACATGTTTCAGGTCTATTATTGGTCTCGTAATGTACCATGGCCTCTGTAGGTGTTATTCACTTATAGAATTGTTTCTATTTTTGTTCCATGAATATGGTCAGTAAATACCACTGTATGTGTCACAAGTGTGAGATGTTGATGTGGTGAGATGTATGTTTCAGGTGTACACGGGTGCGGGCATCAGCACTGCGGCTGACATCCCCGACTACCGCGGCCCTCACGGAGTGTGGACGCGGCTGCAGCGCGGGGAAGCTGTCGGGTGAGTGCCACTCCTTCTCATTCTGGAACATGTCCAACACTACTGCGCATGCTTGTCTTGTTTAGGTGCTCTTGATAACAATATTTTTCAGTGTATAACCCACCCTATTTAAATAATTATGTATGTTATAGATTTTTTTTTAATACTACAATGTAACATAATGTGTAAAACATATCTTTATATAAATTTGTAATACAAGTCCACATCCCAATAAACATGCTTACTTCGAAAACACTCCAATGTCTGTCTTCATGTGGCTGTATGATAACATTTGCAAGAAAATCATTTTCGATGATTTTTTGTCATTTGGCAGCAAATAG